TTAATAACTTGTACTGCATACATACATTGTTTTATCTCACTTAAGCCAGTTCGGGTGTACATCTGTTAGAATCAGATAAAACATCTATAGCATCGAAATCTTTAATTAAGTAGAAGCATTTACGTATTTAGTGATGGGAAGTTTATAATATTTCCATTTTTTAAAGTGCAACATATGAAGTGAAATATATTGCCAAGAAGTGGGACAATAGTTTTATAATGCTTTTTAAGCATAAGATGAACCCTTAAAATAAAGTTTATGGAACCTACATACCAATAACGCAATGGAACAAACTCATCTGCCACAATGTATTAATGTCATTACAAAGTTATATGAATCTTTCCAAGTGCTTATGGGAGCATACAAGTGTTAGAGAAGAAATACTGGTAACACTGGTGTTTCTTATTATCTTTTCGAGAACATATTATTAGAAAATACAATTCTCTTCATTAGAATTTGTCCGAGTGGTTAAGTGCATTGAACACAGTGTATGATCGGTTGCCACGTTGTTGCATGCAGAAGCATGGGTTCGATTACCGCTGAGAGAAGGACAAAAATATGCTGATATGTATATACATATGTGTAACCAGAGGCTCTAAAGAGCCTGTGTCGCTCACCTTGGTCTATGTGCATATTCAACAAAGGACACACTTTAACATTGTAGACGAGAATAGAATTTATGACAAAATTCTCTGTTTTGTTGATCTTGTATTGCTGATCATTTAGTCTGTTTAGTTTCTCTCTATCTTCTTTAGTTTTTGCTCAAATCACAAAAGAAGGTAACAAATCCTCAGTTAAGGGCAATCACTCCTATAAAGAGTGACAGTCTACTAACTATATTGGCAAAATTTGACTTGTTAGTAGATCTTGCCTTGCTGATCATTTTTTTTATTTAAAGTGTCTATTTATCTATTACTATAATTTTTATCATACAGTGTATAAGGCAAAAGGCAAAAAAACTTAGAAAAATCGTCATTAAAGGGCAAAACTCCAATAAAGAATCGTCGGACGATTTCCTCCATAATGTCTTAACTGTAGATATTGTCTTTCTGATCATTTTTGCTTATTCAAGTTTCTATCTATCTGTTATAATTTTTAAGATATAAGACAAAAATGAAAAAATGGTAAAATTTGTCATTTAAGGGCAATAACTCCAATAAGGAGTCGTCGGACGATTTCCTCTATATAGTCTTAATTGTAGATCTCGTCTTGCTGATATTTTTGCTTATTAAAGTTTCTATCTATCTATTATAATTTTTAAGAAAAAAAGCAATTACGCAAAAAATTGGTACACATCGTCATCAAATGGCAATAACTCTTATAAGGAGTTGACTGACGATTTCGACCATTAGTAGACTTATTTGTAGAACTCGTCTTGCTGATCATTTTTGCAATTTAAAGTTTCCCTCTACCTATTATAGTTTTTAAGATAAAAGACAAAAATGAAAAAAATGGTAAAATTTGTCATTTAAGGGCAATAACTCCTTTAAAAAGTCGTCTGACAGTTTTGACGTGTGTAGACAATTGGTAGAGCTCAACAATCTGAACATTTTTTCTCTGTCAGATTTTCTCTATTTATAACGGTTTTCAAAATAATAGACTAAACTTGCATTTTACCCCTATGTTCTATTTTTAACCATGTCGGCCATCTTGGTTGGCAGACGGGATCATCGGACACATTTTTAAAACTAGATACCCTAATGATGATTGTGGCCAAGTTTTGTTAAATTTGGCCCCGTAGTTTCAGAGTAGAAGATTTTTGTAAAAGTTAACAGACGACGACGGACGACGGATGCCAAGTGATGAGAAAAGCTCACTTGGTCCTGTGTGCCAGGTGAGCTAAACATGAGGCTCTCAAGAGCCTGAATCGTTCACCTGTATTTCAGAGGAGAAGATTTTTAAATGTTAGCAAACTTGATGAACAAATTGTGTAAAATTGTCTTTAAAGGGCAATAACTCCTTAAGGGGTCAATTGACAATTTTAGTCATATTACCTTTTTTGTAGATATTACTTTCTTGAACATTATTACTGCTTACAGTTTATATATATCTATAATAATATTCAAAATAATAACAAAAAACTGCAAAATTTTGTTAAAACTACCAATTCGGTGGCAGCAACCCAACAATGGGTAGTTCGATTCGTCTGATAATTTGAGGGCCGATAGATCTTGACCAATGAAACAATTTTACCCCATGTCACATTTGCTCTAAAAGATTTAGTTTTTGAGATATAAGCCAAAAACTGCATTTGACCCTTATGTTCTATTTTTAGCCATGGCGGCCATGTTTGTCAATGGATACAAATTTCGGATACAATTTATAAACAAGATACCCTAATAACATTTACTTAAAGTTTGAAGGTAATTGGCCCAGTAGTTTCAGAGGAGAAGATTTTTAAATGTTAGCAAACTTGATGAACAAATTGTGTAAAATTGTTTTTAAAGGGCAATAACTCCTTAAGGGGTCAATTGACAATTATGGTCATATTAACTTTTTTGTAGATCTTACTTTGTTGAACATTATTGCTGCTTACAGTTTATATATATCTATAATAATATTCAAAATAATAACAAAAAACTGCAAAATTTTGTTAAAACTACCAATTCGGTGGCAGCAACCCAACAATGGATTGTTCGATTCTGAAAATTTCAGAGCTGATAGATCTTGACCAATTGAACAATTTTATCCCATGTCAGATTTGCTCTAAAAGATTTAGTTTTTGAGATATAAGCCAAAAACTGCATTTGACCCCTATGTTCTATTTTTAGCCATGGCGGCCATGTTTGTCAATGGATCAAAACTTCGGATACAATTTATAAACTAGATACCCTAAGGAACATTTAGTTAAAGTTTGAAGGTATTTGGCCGAGTAGTTTCAGAGGAGAAGATTTTTGAAATAGTTTACGACGACAGACGACGACAGACGACAACAGACGACGACGACAGACGACGGACGCCAAGTGATGGCATAAGCTCACATGGGGCCCTTCGGGCCCCGGTGAGCTATTAAGGGGGCATTGCCTTTGACATCTTGCACTCTGAGAGAATCACACTAACATCATGTCTATTTGTCACAAACGTCTGTCGCACAATACAATTATATAAATAATCTCATTGGACAAAAGCGGATGATAAACATTTTAATTGAAATATTAAATGTAAATACAACGATATAAACCGTAACCCGGCAACATATTTTTTTCGATCGCTTATTCTTCCGGGTATGGATGGTTTGTAGATTTAAAATCCACGTTGTAAGTTCATATCAATGTCGCTTTGGTAATATATGAATAATATCAGCTCAAGTCAGCCAACTTCAATTTTCAAAATGTCACAGTGGTAGGATTTGAAAGTTTGATTATTGGTTTAAGGTCTACACACTAATAATATTATCGGTAAAAGTCCGTTGTCAGCCGCGCGACGACTATGAAAGATGTGCGCTTGTTGATATATATTATATGTAGTAGATTGGCCGTTGAAATTGGTCACTTTTCACACTTCATTGCATATGATAAGGATGGAAATATAGATAAAATATATTACAAGATTAGCAATTTTTATCAATATTAATGCACACAGAACAAAGAAAACACCAGCAAAACAAAATAGAAAAGGAAAATACACACATATACAACAAATCAATATTGTTTTATTTATTTGTTTAGTTGTAATATGCATAAGCACATTTCATATATTTCCACATTCAGCTATAAAATTGAACGCTTGCAGGAAGCACTTAATTTTCAGAATTCAGAATTCAGAATTTTTAGATGTATTTTGATATGAAAACTATATTTGTTTTTTTTTTCAAATATTAGCTACCTATTGGAATCAAACTGTAAATGGAGAAAAGAAACCTTTCAAGAAGCAGGTGTTTGTTTAGGTGTCTAAGGTGAAATTTTAGTTTTACAAAATCGTAAATGTTTTTCTCATAAAAAAGACTTCAATGTAGTGTACATGAATATTCTTTGACGTCATTACATCTGAAAATGAGACAAGAAATGTGGTTTGCGCGTTTATGTTCTAAAAATATAACTTATGGCGTCGGTGTATGGGTGGGGATGAGAAACATGAAAACATTAACTTAATCGGCTCCTACAATGATAGAAACTATACAATTATTTGAAATGCAATGTGGAGGGGGATGAATATCGTGCTTCATAAATGGAAAAAGTCGTATTACGAGTCTGTTTGTTGGATACAGTGTTTAACTACATGTATGAAGGCGTGGAAGATCAATGATTGTTATTTGCCCTAAAACTTCTTAATGGTCTTCATTGCATAACACAACGATATGAAAACAAAACAAGACTTGGACATGGATGTTTGGAAGGGATTCTTGGCTGGGAAACTACCTCGCCAATAGCGAAATTCTATCAAAACGACATTATAAAAGAAAAGTAATGTTCGAGGTTGGAAAAATTGTATCAGATTGAACTTAAGAAGTAAATGAATTATCTAATAATCCTGTATTTTGCAATTATTTCTGGTTTATCATTGATAAAAAAATTTATTGAACGTGTGTTCTGCTTTCGTGTTTAAACTTAAACTGTATGCAAAAGCATTTAATCTCTCAAATGTGGATTCATTTATTTCAAATATTACTTCTAACCTCTTTCACACGCCGGTCATTACCTTGAATTCATGCACCCATTGAAATATACCGTTACCAGGGAGTAATAAAAACTGATGATGAAATGATTTTTCACAAAAAGAAATGGAAATGCGTGGTTAAATTGATAAATAGTAAACACAATTAGAAAAAGCAAATTGGAATATCCGCTGGAAAACCGGAAATATTTTAAAAAATAGAATACCTGAACTTGAGATATAATGTGACTTCCTCTAATATGATAACCTTGATCTTTTCATTGTTAGTTTTCACCGTGCATGCAGAAAATACTATTTTTATATAAATAGTAAATAACATGAATTAGGAAAGTGAGTTATGATTAAAAAAACAAGACCGAGCTACCAATTTACACACTATGTTTTACCTTGTCTTGGAGTCTATTAGTTCTAGCTAGAAACTATAACAAACAATAAACTAATAACACATTTGTTAAAAATTATTTGAAAAATAATGCTACTGATCACATTTTATTTGATCTGGTGATATTAATCAAACCCTTAATGTGTTAAGACGTTACCTGGACCTCTGTCGTCAGTCTGTAAGTAACGTGTAGATGGTTACCTGGACCTTTGTCGTCAGTCTGTAAGACCCAGGGCTGTCTGTTTAGCAATATGGGATGTATAAATATGAATTCGAGTTATAAAGCCCTTGCACCAACATTCTGAGGTGCCCTGAAGGTGACCTGTTGCAAAGCAGAAGTTTAATAGTACAAGACACACCCCTTTTTCATCAGAAAATAATTTTGTTTTATCGCGGTCGATCTTTTTAGCAGTGTCTACCTTGTTTTCTTCTCTTCCTAAATGCGCATGAAATGTTTGCACTGGACGCTAAGCAAACAGTGATCAATCAATCATAGATGTCAGAAAAATTTCATTTTATATTTCTTGAGTCGAATGTCCCTTATTTGATAAGTAATCTTAACAATCCCAAATAGATGACATTGATGGAGTATTTTTTTTTTTGTAAAACTTATTTTACGAACACCGGGAAAATGTTGATTTTTTTTGTTTGTTAAGATTATGCACTATGTGAAAGCTAAGTCAAACTAAGTGCGTAACTGATGCAAATTACAGCTTTCGTTCTAATTCTAAAGCCATAATAACATAAGAAAATCAAATTACCTTTAAACATCATTTTAAAAGAGAGAGAGAAGATATCACGACGGCATTCAAAATATCAAATATCAAAATATCAAAATTATAATCCAATAAAAGAGACAACACTATGGAAGTGTCACGGAATAGAAGCTCCTTTATAATATAAGTTCCAAAAGGAAAAAATGTTCTGGAATATTATTTCCAAAGGAATAAATATTACAGTATATGTTTCTTACGGAATAAATGGTATAGAATATTTGTTCCAACAGGAATATTTATTATGACATTGTTTATAACAAAGTTTCCAGTGGAACTTCTGTTAGGCGGAACAAATATACGTTGACAGAAGGACGAACACCAATAAATAAAACATGACATAGAAAACCAAAGACTGAGCAATACGAACCCCATCAAAAACAGGGGGTGAACTCATGAGCTCCGGAAGGAAGTCACTAAATGTCTTTATTTTAGATAAAAAGATGCCTGTCGCAAAAAGAATTATTCACATTGAAAATACGAAAATATTAATTTGTTTTGTCCTTGTTTATATTGTATTGTACTGTTAATTGTACCGAAACGAAGTATCGATTGGCCCTATTTGGATTAATTTGAAATAAATAAATACATACATATATATATAAATACCCAAGTAGGTAAAACATTTATAAACTTTTATTTCTTGACGCTTATGTACCTAGATAGTAAAAATATTTTGGTACGGAATCAGTATTAGGCAAATGAAATTAAATAATTTTCATACATATATCATGTACTTTTTCTTATTTATGATTACATTTATTTTTGCGTATGTGCCTTTAGTGGAAATCAGCAAACGTTATTTGAAGTTTTGCCCACACACGTTTATTTTATTTACTTTGTATAAGAACACTTGACCGACCAAAAATGTGTTATCCTTTTGATATGTTTATAGTATACTATGAAATATCAATAAACATCTGTCACCAAGCGTAAGTAAATAAATGAGAAAAGGTGCCAAAATATTTTATTATAAAAGTGCAAGGTAAACAATGTGTGTTTGACATTTAAATACACGAGTTTAAATAAAATCGACTAATCATCTATATAACTTACCGGCTTCCAACATGTTTCGTTACAGAGTGGACGTCCTATGAATGGGCTTACCGGACACCCTGCAGCCACAATGGCGGTAGCCACAATGTTCAGTTGAAGAACAAGGGTAAACACCCAAAATAAAGGTGTTTTGCCCGTGGACATTTTTATCCCCTCGCACACATGGTGTACACATCTACCCAATGCATTGATAATTCGTTCTACAAGGAAGTTATTTTGATCTAGTTACCTGTAAACAAATGGAGCAAATAATGGAACTGTCATAATGGGACCAATCAAAATAAATTAGTTTAAAATAATACATTGTTTTGAATATTGATTTGTTATCAGTAATATATCAGGTTAATGGACATGTGTTATTTGGTTCAACGTAATTTGATATTGATTCTCAGAATAGATATGATTATCGCGAAATGTTTTCAAAACTATACCAATTTATTTTAATTTCGTTGACATCTATAGTCAATGAGAGTTTCTTTAGATTTAAGTAAAAGAAAACAAAACACTGACAAGCTTTGGTAAGATAATGTACTAAAGAAGGAAGTTCAAACATTTATATAAAATTTTAAAAGATAATTTAAAATCATGCGAGGTATGAATATTATATTTTTTGTTAATTTTTGTGAACGCGCCATATTTTAAGTCGACATTCATATTCTTATTGGTACGTAATTACTGAACAAGTATCCTCATTTATTTTGCTTTACTACGTAAAATACTGTGAACAAGATCGAATTTCTGAAATTCTGCGAGCCAACCTTTGTGATAGAGAATTTCGGCATTGGTTTTGATATTAGTGCATTAATATGAGAAAAGTAAAATTTGTTTTGATTACTTGTCTTTATAAAAATAGATATTTTTATTTTACATTTATTCTAATATATGTAATTATATCATGCGTTAATGTTAAAATCTCTTTCTCGAAAGTTTGATAGAATTTATAAGACTTACTTTTTTATCGCTGCAATAATTGATATACAATGTTACAAAACTCATTTTAATTAGAAATAATAAAAGTATGGAAGGTTTTGAAAAAAAAAATTATCTAACATTGAATCGGGCAAGATGAATAATCATTTTAAAGGCAGCTTGAAATAAATATCCTGACCCACTACCATTGGAATTGTTATGAATGAAAAACGAAAATAAGAATGCATGCAGCAATGTTTCGTCAAAAAAAAAAATAGTTTATCGCAATTAATAGAAATAAATATTCGTTCTGAAAAAGATACTCATACTTCCCCTCACCCGAATATCAAATTGTCGTCCTCTTAGTGATGATACATTTTTAACAGTTGACTGTTTTGAGTGATGGTAAAACCGTTGAGTTTTGAGCGATGGTAGAACAGTTGAGTTTTGAGAGATTGTAAAACAGTTGAGTGTTGGGTGATGGTAAAACATAAGCAATACGACGGGGGATACTAGTTGAGCAGCATCTGATTACCTTTCCGGAGCACTTGATATTTGTGTTGTCAGTTTTCTCTACTTTTTAGTTTTGAAGGTCTCCTTGGTATCTTCCGCTTCTTTTCATTTTTTTGGCATCTCCACCTTAGACAATTAATCTCTGCATACTCACTAATTGCAGCATACGCTCGTAGCAGTTGGTTTATAACCGTTGGTTTTCCCGTTTGAATGGTTTTACACTAGTAATTTTTGGGGCCCTTTATAGCTTACTGTTCGGTGTGAGCCAAGGCTCCGTGTTGAAGACCGTACTTTGACCTATAATGGTTTACTTTTATAAATTTTGACTTGGATGGAGAGTTGTCTCATTGGCACTCATACCACATCTTCTTATATCTATCTAAAGATAATCTTTACTAATCTTTAAGATAAATCTTTACTAATCTTTGAACATTGCTAAAATTGTTGATATATACATATTTTTGTAACGTTATTTTTAGCTCACCGCTCCGAAGGAACGGTTAGCTTTTGCCATCACTTGGCGTCCGTCGTCGTCTGTCGTCGTCCGGCGTCGTCCGTCGTCGTCCGTCCGGTGTAAACTATTTCAAACATCTTCTCCTCTGAAACTACTGAACCAATTCCAACCAAACTTTATCTGAATGATCCTTAGGGTATCTTGAATAAAGTGTGTGTTTTATATTTTGTTTCGTTAAAAACATGGCCGCCATGGCTAAAAATAGAACATAGGAGTAAAATGCAGTTTTTGGTTTATATCTCAAAAACCAAAGCATTTACAGCAAATCTGACTTCCGGTAAAAATATTCATTAGGTCAAGTTCTATCAGCCCTGAAATTTTCAGATGAATCTAACAACCTATTGTTGGGTTGCTGCCACTAAATTGGTAATTATAAGGAAATTTTGCAGTTTTTGGTTATTATCTTGAATATTATTATAGATAAAGATAAACTGTAAACAGCAAAAATGTTCAGCAAAGTAAGATTTACAATTAAATTTATATGACCAAAATTGTCAATTGACCCTTAAGGAGTTATTGTCCTTTAAGGGCAATTTTACACGATTTGTTTATCATGTTTTCTAACTTTAAAAAATCTTCTCCTCTAAAACTAATGAACCAATTCCAATGAAACTTAAGCTGAATGATCCTTAGGGTATCTAGAATAATGTTTGTGTCTTATTTTCTGTTTCGTCAAAAAACATGGCCGCCATGACTAAAAATAGAACATAGGGTAAAATGCAGTTTTTGACTTATATCTCAAAAACTAAAGCATGTAGAGTAAATCAGACAAGAAGTTAAAGTATTCATTAGGTCAAGGTCTACCTGCCCTGAAATTATCAGCCAAATCAGGTATCTGATTTTTAGGTACTTGCCCCTGAATTGATGATTTTAAGGAAATTTTTCAGTTTTCGGTTATTATCTTGAATATTATTATAGATAAAGATAAACTGTAAACAGCAAAAATGTTCAGCAAAGTAAGATCTACAAATAAGTTTTATATGACCAAAATTGTCAATTGACCCCTTAAGGAGTTATTGTCCTTTAAAGACAATTTTTCACAATTTGTTCATCTAATCTAGTTTGCTTTCTTTAAAAAATCTTCTCCTTTGAAACTGCTGAATCAATTTCAGCCAAACTTGGGCTGAATGAGTTTCAGAGTATCTTGTATAAATTTTGTATTCTATTTCCTTGTACGTCAAGAAACATAGCCACTATGGCTAAAATGGAACAGAGGGGTAAAATGCTTTTTTTTTGCTTTTGAAGAAAAAATGACAGATACAAAGAACGTTTAAATGGCATTTTAAGCCACTCATTAATATATATTGAAAAGCAAAAATAATCATCGATGAAAGATTTAAACAAAAAATTACATGTGAGCTATTCAGGCTCTTGAGAGCCTCTTGTTTTGTCTGTTTTCTTTATATTTTTAGCTTTTTGTTGTTTTTTGGGTGATTCTTTCAAAGTCTCTGTGTATTAAGATATGTGTCATTTTCCCTAACAATTAATTCTAATTATACAAAAATTAGCAGACGACTGCTGTTGGAGTTATTGAATTTAGATGACGGTTTTTGCTTTTTATATTGGAAAGTGAAATAAAACTATAAAAAATGAAGCGCTTTTCTGGATTTGCCTTCACCTGGAACGCTAAAAGCCGAGGATGTATAAAAACCGAAACACATGAAGAGCTATATGACCAAAAGTGATATAAAAATAATAGCAAAATCAATCTAAGGTTAATTTTACCCAAGGAAGTTGGAACCTTAGTTTCTTACTACTTTCTAAAATTATGAACGGACAGCTTTAAGAAAGGTATCAGTATGGTAACTTGACAGAAACTATAACCTCGAATATGGTCCATCATGCATCATCTATAAAATTACCCATTCAAGGAGTAACTGCTTTAAACTGACTTGTTTTAACTAGTTTAAAAATGTCTATTTTTAGTATATTAATTGCTATTTTAGGCAGAAACCTTTTGTTGCAAAAACGACAAGCAATACGATATTTATATAAAAACAAACAATGTATCTGAAACCATCAATTGCCCCCTTACAGCATTTTTTAACTTTAAATGACCATTTTTGACCCATTAAGGTATTTTTTTCTAAAAGCTCGAGAACTTTTATAGATAGTTAAAACTTCAAACAGTCAAAATGATCTGCAATACAACATCATTCTACTATAATGTTCAAATGATCAAAGAAATCAACGGGTTTTTGCCCTTAAAGGAACTAAAACCAACAGTTGACCCCAGTCATTATTTATTGTCTTTCATTATTTCCTAGACTTGCTACACTTCCCTTTTTATTTCTCTTTTACTAATTTATATGTTTACTGAAAACTGCCTGTATACTGATTGCCCCTTGTCATCTGCAGGTCTCAATATAAAGGAAATCTCTTAGCTATAGCAGTAAAATTGTTATAGGGGTAAAATTTACAAAAAAGAAAATTAGGAAGGGACATGTAGCAAGTCTAGTTATTTTCTCTTTTTTTTTGCATTTCCGTTTCAAAGATATTCTCCATTTAAACAATTTACAGTGATCCTTAATATGTTAAAATTTCATTTTATGACTTTTTGATCTATCTACCAAAAAAGGTTAAAATAACACAAATACTTAACTCCAAGGAAAATTCTAAACGGATAGTCCTTTATCAAATGGCAAATTCAAAAGCTCAAACACATGAAATGAATGGAAAACAACTGTCATATTCCTGACTTGGTACAGATATCTTTCGGTCTTTTTGTTTTTGTTTTTGTCTTTTCGTCTTTTCTGATTTGTTTTCTTTTTTTTTACTGACCGTTTTTGTTTTGTTTTTTATTTTTCGTGGTGAAAAAAGGAGGGGGGGGGGGGGTCATCTGCTATGCCATTGTGTGACTCCTTCCTATGATTTCTATAACTAAAGCTGTATTATTTCTGTGTTTGCTGTCATCAGACATGTGTATTTTATATGTAAGGAGAGGACTTAATATAAGTTGTAATAACTTGTGTACAACCCTATTGCTTGAATAGTCCAATAAAATATTATAAAATAAAATAAATAAATCAAACAAAATAAACTGGGATCTACAACTAGTTACACTCATTTATACATATGTGATGACTGTTTGAAAATAGGAGGAGAGGACATTTTGAAAATAAATTAATTATATATCTTATTTTACTGATACTGGTATTGGTGTGGTATATCTTGACATGTTTAACTTGTCTTTCAACTTGTTATTTTAAATATTTTGAAAATTGCTTAAGGAGGATTTTGAATATCAATGTAGATTTTTACAATGAGTAGAAATATGATCATCCTAAATGATGTATAAAACGCAACTTTGTCCATTTAGTATATGGACGTTTAATCCGATAGTTTAAGGAAACTTTGAATTACTCAATGAGTGGTTCGTATTTGGACTGTTATAATGTGCCTATCTAACATACAAACGTTTACCAGTTAGTCAAAGTTATCTCGACCAATTACATATGAAATTTATTGTTAAGAATAGACAGCGACGAGGGTTATAAGTAAATGAGACATAACCCTAACGAAAAAAAAATTCTGGACATCAACCCATAGACTTCAGCCGTAGACAATTTAATTTGATCCCGCCCTGATATGCTTGAAAATAGTTCACTATACGTAAAGCAAACGACAATCAATCTAGCATCGTTTTGACGTAAATAAAACCAGGCAAGAATAGTTTACCGATGTTCAAATCTCACAAATCGAATAAAATAAAAAAAAAAGTAAAAGAACAAAAATAAAAAACTCTAATGAAATTTCAAAACAGAAAGTCCTTGAACAAAATAGCAAAATCAAAAACTCAAACACATCAAACGAATGGAAAACAACTGTCATATTCCTGACTTGGTACAGCCATTTCCTCATGTAGAAAATGGTGGATTAAACCTGGTTTTATAGCTAGCTAAACAACTCACTTGTATGACAGTCATATATAATTTCGTTATATTGACAACAAATAAAACCTTTTAAGTGTGATGTCAAATATGAACAATTTATTAGGAACTTTGTGTGTTTAGAGTACTATTTATGTGTTTGATATAATTCATTGGCAAAGGTTGATTATATTCTAATTATGATATAACCCGGTTATTTCAGCATTTTCATTTCCGCCCAATGCTAGTTTTTTCTTCAACATACGATAATTGGAGAGTTCTTCGTCTTCTCTATGACAAGACATATCTAATAATTGAAAGTACAGGCTGAGTCCTTAATGGTCATCTCCACCCCTGCCATTTAAAATTCAAATATCCCGAAAAGGGTTAGAATACCAAACGTAAAACATACTACTTGATTTGGATAATTCAGTTGCAGGTGGGAAACTGTATACATAAAATCAAGATGAATGAATGATCTTTTGTTCTCTATTGTTAATTGTTCTTCTTTGGACGAGTATGTTCCTTTGATCCCTTCTTGCGTTGTGAAAATGTCTCAAGTGGTTTGTTATGTAAGCGTTTATAGCAACGTTAAATATGTCGGATGAGTACTGATCGATATTTCAGTATAGGAAAATATGATATATTAGTATATACAAGTTGTAATTGGCTTTCAAGAAGCTTTCAGTTACCGCCAGTACTCATAGATCGGTTCTTTTGTGTCTATTGGTTTTTTTGTTTGTTAATTGTTTTTTTGTGCTTTTCGCCGATCTAATGAGTCATTCTATACTATATTCTGAATGTTAAATACTTAAAAGCATCTGAATACTATTTTTGTTTGTGCATCTAATATGACAGTATCAGTTCTTAAATATTTGCTTCTTAAATTAGGTCAAACAAATACGCCAGAAAATTGTTTAAGATTATTTTCAGTTAGTCATTTAATTTCAGCTGTTCAAATTTACATATAATTTGAATTTGGAAACACGCACTAAAAGGGAGAATAATAATGGTTGTGATCGACAATCGGGTCCACTGTTATTAAACATCAATAAGAAAACCCATACCGCATAGTCGACAATAAAAGGCCCCGACATGAAAAATATGAAACAATTCAATTGAGATAGCTGACGGCCTAATTTATAACAAAAATATTTACAAAAAACTACACGCTCCTGACTTGGGACATGCACATTACAAATGTAGCGAGGTTAAACATGTTTGAAGGCACCAACCCTCCCCTAGAACATTATCAAATGCATACAATTATCAATTGAATTCACACAATTTGAATGAATTCTATTATTATAAAATGATTCTTCAGCATGCCCATTCAGAATAACCTCGTGTACCCCTTCCTGCCAGGCAGTCAAGAAGGCCGCCAAATCTGGTTTGAAATAGTCTTGCAATGGTTCTCTATAAATGATATAACCTTGAAATGGTTCTTTATCAATAATATAACCAATCACTCATCACATTGTCCAATGTAGCAAGCACCGTAGAATTTATGGTATAGACTATAAAGGTATGTTAGGTATGCTTGGCACCTGACAAACATGGCTGCCGGTATAGCGCCTAAATCACTTAAAATTATGATATGTCAGGACAACTTTATAATGAAGATTAAGAAAAAAAACTAATCAATAGATTGCATGTTGGAACATAACAAATTATAGCTGTAGAATAATACTTTTTAATACCGAACAATTATTTTCATGGCAGTCATTAAACATGGATGATTTTGATGACTATGACATTCGATTACTATAAGCAATTTAAATCTAGGTGTTGGATTCTGGCTCGTGGGATCCTGTAGGAATTGTTCGTTTATCTGTTTACAGTAATCAATAACAATAGACGATATAACAAATGTCAATAAATATAAAAATACTTAGTCATATGATATTAATTTTTTTTTCAAAATTAACGTTCGATGGCAAATCATAGATTCCTATATTCTAAATAGATACAATTAAGGGCTTCAATTTTCAATATTGAAATGCGTAGTTCATCTGAAATTAAAATACAAAAGTGGATCATTACTATTTTGATGAAAATCAGAGTGTTTCTGATCTTCTAAATGGATTTCGCCGATTCTTCCATCTGCTTTCATGTTCTTCCAGCTGTTTTCTTCGCTTTCACATGTTTGGCTAAGATTTACTGCGGAACCAAAGTTTATTTTAAGTAGCGGATCGTTAATGATTTGATCAGGTATTTTACAGGGGTCACATGAATTCCGAAAAATCAGAGATCTATTCAATTGTTGATTTTCACCATGAATGGGACACAATGAGTCAATACTTGTATCTGAACACGATTCTCGAATAAGATTTTCCAAGCTCTCACTTCTCAATAATGTCTCTGACTCATCTACCGCATTACTGAGGTTTGATTTTATTATATTCCATTTATTGATACTATCACATGTTACATTTAAAAATTGCATGAATTCATAAAAATCTTTCATTAAACAGATTTGTCCTTCAAATTTCTTTAAAAACTTCCATGTTACATAGTTAGCGTCCTCTGTGTACGGAAAGTTCACTACTAATGTATTTCTCGGTTCTAAAACGTCTAGAGATGATGAAATAGTATGTTTTATAAAGTCCAGATTGTAGCTAAACTTTGAACCTGTATTATAAACAGGAAGTAGAATTATAATGTGAGTTGCATCCTTAATCTCGTCATGAATTTTCCGTTTTATCGTATTGTTTCTTTTTTTCAAATGAGATATGTCTTCACCGAATTGGGTAAATGTCTGTATTATCTTGTTGGCCAGTGTAATACTTATTGGATCATCGTTTGTTATTATACGGATTCTGTTCTTGGCATCTAAATGACATCGTTTTGTTTCTTCCAATTCCATCATCTGATTGTCTCTGTTTTCTTGCAAAGTTTTATGAATATGTCGCTCATTGGCATCTGCTTCATTTTGAAGTAAGCCAGACTGCTTGTCATACAAATGTATTCTTCCTGACATATAACTAGCACGATGCATACTGTTATTTAGCATGCACTGTTCCTTTTGATTTTCAATGTATTCTGCAGGTTTTTGAATTTTTATCTGACCTTTTCCAATTTTATGATGACCACCATCTAACAGGGGGCTATTAAAGTGTGAATACTCTTCATTATTTTTGACAGAACTGTCTATAAAACTTAACTTTCCGTGAATTGGACAGCCGCTGTCTATGCTTACTATACTTGATGTAGACACTAACGATGATCGTCGCGAAACTGGATTTCTTAATCTAGCTTCTGCGTCACATATAACATGATTCAAATCGCATTCAATTCTGTGAAGTGTGTTTCCCTTGTACAGGTTTGGTTTTATATTCAAAAATTTTGTAAGTACGTGAAATTCTGTCGGAAGAAAAGCAAACTTTCTAGTTTCATTGATGTTTTCCTTCGTTAAATATTTTTCAGAAGTGAAATACAATTTAAGAGTATCAAGATTTTTTAACTTTACTGAAAATTTAATGATTTTTCCAAATCTTTCATCATAATCAGTTCCTTGAATCAAGTGTTCATCTGGAAACAAAAGTAATAGATGAGAAGTGTCACTCATTGCTTCAATGAAATAACGTAACATTTCAGTCTCCAAATATGAATGGTAATGAAATAATAATGTTTCTAGTCCTAATATTGTCAGAGAAAGGTCGAGTTGATTTGCTACCATTGTACTAGCCTGGTCCGTATTTGACACAATAGTGACTAATTTGGTTGTTCTTTTTAAGTTTCCGTTAAGCAACATATTCCTGTATGCCTTTGGTATAAAGGTTGGTTTATATTCTGGAGTAAATGTTAATTCTGAAAAAATGATATTTGATAAATAAAAATTCAATGCCTTTTCTTCAATAACATGAGTGTCAGTTTCTTAATAAATGAATCAATCTATCAATCAGTAATGAGTTTTACAGACGCCATAATGAGAAGATTGAGCGTTATGGAAATATCTAGATTTATGTCACAAATGACCTTGGATATTTTTTCAATTGTCGTAACCACACTCCTATCCTCTTTTCCACGATTATGACCAAATGATACTTAACACTGCATTTGAAGTGTTGCTCCTGTTTTAGCTTTTAGTGATGTACTTTGAGTTTGTTTTTTCAATGTCAGTCTTGTCTTTTCTTTGTCCCGAAAAATATGTTTCACAATGTTTCAATTTTGAAGTTTCCCATTCAGTCAAGTTTTAAGGTTAGATAATTTACATGACGGATATATCTCGAATTTGGTGATGTCTTGGGGTTGATAAGAGTCAATTGCATAATGCCTAACTACTTGGTATAACTTATCAACATATTTTTCAGGAGTAACACGACGGATGTCAAATGTGAAGTAGGATCTGCTTACGCTTCTAGAGCACGTGAGAACTTTCCAGGTTTTTGGTGGGATTCGTGTTGCGCAATCTTCCGTTTTTCATTAGTGTTTTGTAGACTGTTGTGTGTCGTTTTTCGTTTTTGCCATGATTTTATCAATTTCCCTTTACCTATGATATTTGATTCTGCCTTTGGTATCTTTCGTCTTTTTTTTTATAATGAAAATAACAATACTATTGATTATATAAAAGAAATAACTTTTTTTTATTGACATGGTAACTTTATTTTTGTACCTTGAATTCGAAAATAATTAAGCATTAAAACAACTCTTTTAGGTCATCACAGATTTATAGTTTTTCAGTATTGATAATCTATTTGAATGTAGTTTTTCAATAACATGTATCGGCTTTATACTTTAAAGGTTCAAGAAATATGAGGTTATAAATCTATAGCTAACCGATATTCAATAAAATGGGAAATTGATTGTTTCATTGTCAATATGAAAACTTCTCAATACAAATTTATATCATTTTGGTGGAGATTATTTAGATCAATAAATTTCGGAACATAAAAATAAAAGTTGGTGTATCCGTTCTATTTTTGTTGTAGATAATTATAACAAAATAATTTAAACTGGTAAGCTGCGAGTAACATTCAGTTAAATTATCTCTCTCTCTGAATTCAGCACATTAGTGCAAAAGTTTTCTCCCGTGCCACAGATTTATTTTTCTATATGATATAACACTTTTATATTAGCGTTTTATTAATTGGTATCCTCACGAATCAGATAAATCATTTAACTGGTGAATTAGTCAGTACTGTCATGATTTAAATGATACAGTGTCTTAATTATGCAGTTGAACTTAAACTTAGGCAAATTCCTCAGACAAAGTTCACCTTTGACTTGTCTATGTCCTATTGATTTTATACTCTAAAGCATTTAAATAAATTCCCCGATATATAACATCGAGCATGGTGCATGAAGGCTATTCCAGAAATAGCTGTTTTGCGAACGGAAATCGGTTTAAGACGTCAACAATAATATCACTGGGTCAGTATTGTTGTTGGTGGCTTATCAATGCCGAATGTCTCAATTAGCTTCGGTAATGACATGCTTTCATGATACATTTTGACTTTACATTTGTAATCAGTAAATCATGTAAGTGTAGCTAAGGTAACATTTCGAATTCATTAATAAAAATTAAGTTGACTTTAGACGAAATTGTCTGTCCTGTTTATCAATGAGTGCTGACGTCTCAAATATTCCACTGAACTTGAGATTGAGAATACTACCGAAAGTAGGAGGTTTGCATCATAGCTCGATCTTTTATTGATATTGACATAAAAGGACAACTTCAAACTAGAATCTATGACAAACGTTATAATGTTAACTTTTCAATTGTCTATTTTCCATATTTTCAGCAGGAACATACCCTTTGTTCCATCGTATGACGTTTATATATCATAGTTGATACGTAAATCTTGTGTATGCTCACACTATACGTCCTGCATTAACAGGGATGTGCTACTTACACAAAAACTGCAAACAGAGTTATGAGCAAGAACGACTGAAATCGACGCTACATAATTTTGTACGTTCACCATCACGAATAGGGTTTACCAATACGATGATGTCGGTGTTTAAAGTCACTAGCGACACGTTTACGCGTTCTTGGATCTTTAGATATCAATATAGTCGTCTGATCTGTAATTTTACCGATTGTGTTCAATTCTTGATTTCGACTGAGGATTGATTTGCATGACAGATGATTTGTATATAGCAAGAGACGCTTACCCTGTCGACGCATTCGGTCTCGTTTCTTTTTGAATTCACGCGATTTCGATTTTTACCTCTATTTGTCTCTTTTTAATCGATTTACGAGATTTGAACACCGTTAAACTACTGTCGCTTTATTTTTATGTCATTTTTACGGTTGTTTGGCTTTAAACGCAATTTTGGTTTTATTCTAACTTTAAATTTAAGATTGACCTGTACATGATTGTTTTTTAGTACTTCACATATGTTTATTTTTGGCCATGGCGTTGTCAGTTTGTTTTCGATCTATGAGTTTGACTGTCCCTCTGGTATCTTTCGTCCCTCTTTTAGATCTTCGTTTCAAAATTTTGTTAAGAGTTTGAGTCACCCCAAAAAATAATACATATGATGAAGATATGGAACTCATTGATTTAGTAATTATTTAGTACAACATGTACAATGTAAGGATAATTTTATAATTACAAATGAGATATCAAATATGTTTCTATGATGCACAGATAAAATGACCTGGCTTTGACTGTCATACAAGTAGGAGGTTTGCCTCCTCCCCAAGTAAAACTATTATTCAAAACTGTCTGTGCACAGTTGGGATAATCAAGTCGAAAACGATTTTAAGATAAGGACCACTGGACGAGTTCCCCATCCAAACAATCCCCATAGCAATAGAAGTACCGTGGGCAGAGCTTACCAATTGATAACTCCAGTCTCCGTACCCCTTATGGAATGGTAAAGTCCACGTTTTTGGTATGGAAATAAAGAAATCACTATAACCAAAAATTGAAATACGATGTGCACAATTACATGTTGTAATCAAAATTCTGTGATAATATTACTGAAAATAATTCTCTGGTTTAGAAGAAGTTGCGGATAGGGGATTTAATAATCATGATATGAAATGGCAAAGTTAATGTTTTTATATGTGAAACTTCAGAAATGATTTTAAGAAGAATCTGGAGTTGCGGATGGATGGTTGTGTGTGTGTATGTGTGTGTGGGGTGGGGTAATAGTCATGATATTTGAAGGCAAGGTTAATTATTTTGTTTGGGAAACCCTAGAAATCATTCTGATCGAAACGTAAAAAAAGGAGTGCACAATGGCATTATGTCATGAAGAATCCGTGAAAGTTTGATTGAAATCCATTTGGTGGTTTAATAGGAGTGGCAGATGTAGGATTTTCACGCCCTATAATATGAAATTGAAAAGTCTATGTTTTTGTATGTGGAACCCCAGAATCATTCAGCTAAATAATAAAGTAGGAGATACACAAGTACGTTACGTAATAAAGATAATTTGAAAGTTTCATTGAGATTCATTCTTTAGGCATGACGGACAAACCGGCGGACACCGTGATCACTATATTCTCCCCCTTTTTGATAGGAAGGGATATAAAAAGAACAATATTAATTGACATTAATTTTCATGAATATAAACCATAAAAGATACCTTAATTTGTGTTTTGTATTGTTTTTGGTTTACTGAATTTACTTACCTGCCAATGCTTTTTTTCTTCGTCGTTTCAATAATACCAAGGCAATTACAACAGCCAACAGAATAAATATACAAAATCCCGATGCTAATAATATTTTGGTTAAATGCTCATACCGAGGAGAAATAATTTCCTTAGACTCTGAAAAATAGCACTGGTGAATGAAACCAATATGAATAATTTTAACAACATAATTCCTAATAATTCTCAAATCATATTGAAGTTTTTAATTTAATACTGTAGGAATTTGACATTGAAAGAACAAGTCTTCCGGTAAAAAACAATGATTAATATACAGTGTTCTGTCGTATATCAATAAACATACGAAGTGCATAGAAACCCTACAAGAGGGTGCATAGATTTAGTGTAATCAGACATTCATAATATATTCTGTGGAATGAGATATTTCTGATGGAAATCGATGTGTCCGCATTATACGAATGACCTAGCATGTAGTCTTATTATTTAATGAACATTATTTCTGGAGATAAGCAAGAGTTGTATATCTTTTAAATGATGATCACCAGAAATAAAATGTTAACTTAAATTCTGCTAAATGTAACTTAACCGGAACTGTATTTAATCATTTACACTAATGTGTCAAACGTCCGCTCTAGAATTGCAGGCATTACAAAAAAACAGACAAATACATTTTTGATACAATAATTGTATGTTCAAGGACTGTTATTAAGCCAAATGTCGGTCAACTAAAACGAAACGCAAACTCGGAGTAATGGACAAAATCAGCACCAGATGAAACGTAAAAATCGAATTCGTTAAATTACCCTAGTCAATGGACGTTATTCCACGTAAAGTCGGTCAACCTCATCGAAAGACAAATTCGATTTATTATTGATTATTTTACACACTTATATACCAAAATCAGCTGTAGATCTACAAGCATCGTAGTTTAATGAAACGTTGGTCGACTGAAGCGAAAAGCAAACTCAATCGTTAAGACAGCATTCCAAATTTCAGATCAATTAATCCAGGCATAACAAATAAGGTCAGAAAAACTGTTTGGTTTCAGAAGGACTAATGACACAGAATTCCTCGACCATAACATTGACATTAAAAGCTTCGTCAAATTCCGGCACATATGGAACCACTTAACACTTTAGGGAGATATTCAGATAATATTTTCGTTATTCTATTCCGGTTTGCATATTTAACGACCTGTTGGTTAGTTTATGGACATACAATTGCCCTGAATTTTCAGTGGTTTCAGTGGTTGGAAATGAATAATGAATAAAGAAGCGGTATCATTTCAAAATTTCAAAATATGAATGAAAGCCCATGACTCCACATACAGAGATGTTTTCAGATATTATACAACCTACTACAAAACTTTTTAAATTATAGATTATGTTTGTCTACTACTGTATTACGCTGAAAGCGACATTTCTATTTGAAATGGATGTAAATTTCTCATATCACAATTGATTCTTTTAAAGCTTGAAATCTGTGAATAGAAATCACTCGGAAGTATCACTGTCTGCTAAGAAACAATGAACCAATAGTTCACAAGCAACAGTTTTAACTCAATTATAATAGTTCCTTTGAAATATTCGGGGCACCAAAATAACAGGAATTGCTAACAGCCACTCCAAAACAAAACCTGATGACTGAAAAACGTCTTCAAATTTATTACCTTTAAAATCTAAACAACGAAATTCCAATTAGTGTTTTGATAGTCCTTGAAAGGGTCTTAGGCATATAACATAAGGTGAGGGCAACGAATAAAAGGAATGGGTTTTGTCCAATGAAAATTTAATCCCAAAAGAATGTTGTAGACAATCCCACCTTTATTCATTCTAGTGCACAGGAGACTGGATATTACACAAACATGATCAACTCTAGAAATTCTAGATACTTACCGCCTATTATGATTTCGTGGAAAGTTTTGTACACACTGCATAAATTGTCAACACGACAACACTTAACCTTCAAATGGTGAAAAATATATTCAGTATGGATTACTAGTATATCACATAAAATACAAGGCTTTTTACATTAGAGAAAAGGAATAGGAATTCATTCACGAATTATGATGCTTTTTATGTAAAATTGTCTGAATAATTGTCTCACTGGAAATTATCTCCTTATTTTTTATCTTTCAGATCGGCATAGTGTTAGGCTTACGCGATGTATCAATTCAGTAGCGACCAATTTACTTTATCAAATATTCCGATTGTCTTTTTCTGTAGACCTAGCGGTCATAAAACTTTCGAGTACGATTATCGTACTCAGACTCTAAAATCAACCAATCAAATTAATTGATTTGGTGTTTCGAGCACAAATTTTGTACTCTGAGTACTGAGTAAAGTTTTATGACCGAATCCAATCGAATGGCAGAAGAGGCATGTAATTTATAGGACATGCTTACACTGTCATTCCGTTTTGAGTTTATTCTCTTCCGACATTCTTCACATCAATTTGATAATATTAAAAATATCTTTATTTTTGAATATTTTTTTCTTTATCAGACTGAAAGATGGAAATTAAATTATTTATAAGGTGGAGATAAAATCAGGTCATTTTAGATCAATTTTATTCCAGATAAGGTTTATCAGCAGAGATTACAAATTGAACGGTGTTCACGTTTAATATATCATCTAAAACAAGGAGTTTTACTATTTAAAAACATTTCACAGCCTTGCAAATATGAATACATTAAATCAAGATCTCTGTTACCTCTATCCAATATTGTCCTGGAGGAAGACCTTTAAAGGTATAGTGTTGTGATGCAGTTTCCTGAAAATAATATAAATATAATCATTAAACAAATAATTATTACTTAAATGTAAAGCCTATAAAACGGACCTTCTCCAATTAGAATTAACAGATACGTATACCTTGGTTTGGTGTTTAATTTATTATTTTTCATGTTGAAACTTTCGAAAATAACGGTGTCTTACATGTTTCTTGTTGTCAGTTTTGATGATTACAACCAAATTACAAATAAATGGTTTTAAACCCGGACTTGAATATTCGTTTGCCAAATTATTCACTCTAATAATAGGAAAATTCACTGAAATTCACTTGTGAAGAAAATCATGTTAACTTTTCCAAATCATTTGCTATCATTCTCGGTTTATTGGTGTTCATAAATTCATTCTGACAAGTTCTTCAAATTGCTTATCGAGATAAAACTAATAATCTTGATCATAATTTTCTCATATTATTTCAGTATGAAAGATATTCATTGAAAGATATAAAACAAATAATGTTTAGCACTGCAATCTATTATGTGAATAACATTAACGGTACCAATTTTCCAGCACCAGATGCGCATTTCGACAATAAATGTCTCTTCAGTGATGCTCGAGGCCAAAATATTTGAAAATCCAAAGCTTATTGAAAAGATCAAGAGCTATAAACCCTAATAAAAGGGAAAGACACACTACACATTAGTTGACTTCAGTCTTGAGTTCTTTATTGTAGTTGTTTGTTATTTGTAAAACCAATTGTTAACAGTAGGTGCTAGACGGATTAATATATATTAATGAAACAAACAAGAAAGATTTGTTAACTATAGACTCATATTATACCTGGTAATCACCGCCTGTATATCTTAAAAAATACGTTTGACAAGTTTCTCTGTGTTCAAATACAACATATATATCATAAGCTGATGGAAACAACGTTGTTGCTATTGTTGCATTCCAGTACTCAAAATCCGGGTTAAATTTTGTCGAAGGAATTGTATTCCAAACGTTATATCGTACTGCAAAAAAAAACCCCAAGAAATGTATGAGAACATATAGTTGGGAAACAATATTATGAATTTTCAAGCATGCATTTTTATTAATAATCTGCAAAAAATGTAAGTTTTGCCATCAGCCATTGCAAAAACATAAATAAGTCAAGGTGTTTATTCAGTATAAATAACATTGATATGATGACAATTTAATTGAATATGCACATATCATTTCTAAGTAATTGTTTGAAAGATATCAAAAGAGTCTGTGTTGTTTCTCTTTCAATCATGTTATTCCTACAGACTGTGTTAGAATATTTAATTACTTCGAAGAAAACAGAAACATTGGCATACTAGTTCCATTAATTGATATATAGCGTTTGATTTTTATGTACTTCCTTTTTTTGAATTTGCCTTGGAGATCGGTTTTGTTATACTTTTATACTCTCATCTATTATTCCCGGTCAGTGACCAGTCGTTAGATACATGAATGAATCAATTTATTCACTCCTCAAGAAGTGACAAATTTATGCTTAACCATAATATTGAACTTTTCAGACATACATATAATTTATTGGCAAAGGTCGATGGATCACATTTTACATTGTCGGTGCTAAGTAGTATAAAGTTATTTCTAGTTAACGGGAGATAACCCCATGTTGAAACCTATTCTATCGCCGATTTCAAGTATGTTTATCAACAATACAAAATTGAGAGATTTTGTTTTTAAATAATTATACAAAAAATATTTTTAGATTCAATAATATGATGTGAAATGACTTTTATGCCCATAAGGAAGATAGTCATTCCGTGAGTTAACATCAATTTCTTAAATAGAATGATTAAGTGCTTCGATGACTTTTTTGTCCTGCTTTTTTAAAGCAAATTACGAAAATCGAAGTTTCATGGCGGTAAAAATACTACAATACTATCGTTATGTGTTACTTTGTCTTTGGACGATTGTAATATTCAAGCGTAAAATATATTTAAACTATAGCATACAGCAGAATAAATGTTCTTGATCTTTTACCCATGAAATGCATTCTCTTGTCAGTACAAGAAACACCGCACACGGTCCCTTCAAAGAGTAATTGCAATGGTTCTTGATCGTACTTTACGGTAGGGGTTTGCCCATTGATGAAAGTGATACGATGACCGTGATCTATAGTTGTTTTCATCCTCATCCTTTGGTCTTTGGTGGATAGTTATCTCATTGGCAATCATACAACGTATCCTTAATTTTACATAGAACATGACACCTCATGCCTTTCATTCATAACACTTTACCAGGTAGTCGGAGTTCAAAATTTGTGCTCGAAACACCAAATCCTGTATTTTTATTGGTTGAATTCTGCCTTGCTTTGTACGAGTATCGTACTCACTTTTTTATGACCACAAGGCCAGTGCCCTCGGTGATTAAACTTTACTAAGTACTTTAGTACTCGGAGTACAAAATGTGTGCTCGTGTACCTGATTGGCTTATATTTTTAAGTTACTTTTCTGTAAGTATGGAAAAAGAAGTTATGAGCATAAAGCACTTAGGACGAGGCAGACGACTGACTCGTCGACGTAGATTGATTACAATAAACAGACTCGGCCAGGAAAAATACTCAAGAAACACACACTAATTTAACACATAACAATAAACAACCATTGATGTATATTTCTGACGTAAAATTATCTTGATTGAGATTACCTGTGACAACACTGACTGTGTATGTCAAACTACTCATTGAGCAAGTGGATGGGTTACACTTGAAATACTTCGAATAGAAAGTTGTATTCATGGCAATTGAAGTTAGAGTTATACTATATATCTTTTCTTTATAAAGGCAATCATCTAAACCATACAAGCATGGGTAGGTGTTTACAATCTGAAAAAGTATATGTAATATGATTGATTTAAATTTCAGATAATGATGTTTTGATTATGTTTGATATAATCTGTTTCGGAAAAAATAACGGCATAGTAACCTCAGGTACTATTATTCAAAAACGCTACAAAAAGTCCTGCAATATCTATCTACAATAACCTCTGCTTTATTTGATTTGATTCGAGAGTCACTAATGGTTCTTGTGTAGAAGAATATAAACTCATCATAGATACAATGATGTGCCACACGCGCGTTTCGTCTACATAAGACTCATACGTAACGCTCGAATGAAAAAGGTAAAAACGCCAAATAAAGTCAATGTTGAAGAGCTCGAAACGCGCGTCTGGCGTAATAAATTATATGCCCACTATCGTATAGAGTCAACGAACTAAAGCTTAAACTTAAAAACAATTTGTGGAATTAAATGTTGAGTCTATGAACTACAACAAAATGTTTCTACTCTAAGATTTAGAAAATTTGCTCTTCATATGTAATACAGACGAATTTGTATATAGTATTTGAAAATTGGCAAACTATGCGTAAACCCTATTGTCATCTATAACAAAGATAGTATGTTAACAGTTCCCCAAATCATGTTGGCGCCTATAAAAATATGTAGATGTGGTATGATTGCCAATGAGACAACTATCCACCCAAGATCAAATGAAGTGGATATAAGCAATTATAGGCACCATACGGCCTTCAACAATGAACTCATACCGTATAGTCGGCTATAAAAGGCCCCGACATGAAAACTATGAAATTGAGAAAACTAACAGCCTAATTTATAACAAAAAGTAAAATAACAAAAATACCGAATTCCAAAGGAAATTCAAAACGGAAAGTCCTTTATAAAGTGGCAACATCAAAAGCTCAAACACATCTAACGAATGGAAAACAACTGTCATATTCCTGACTTGGTACAGGCATTTCATTATGTAGAAAATGGTGGACAAAATTGTTTCCGAAAAACAAATAGGACAGACATGAATCATCGACAACCACTGAACTACAGGCTCCTGACTTGGGACAGGTACATAAATAATGGCAGGGATAAACATGTTTGTGAGCGTCCCCCCCCCCCCCTTAACCTGGTTAACCTAAGACAGTGGTGTTACAGCACTACATAAGAACACACTATAAAAATCAGTTGAAAATGGCTTAACTCATCAGATCGATACAAAGCAGAAGAACATCTAACAAAAACACAGATCGGATGTGTATATACGTTTGAAAATTTGGATCAATCACTTCCTTCTAAGCAGTTATCAACTGTTAAAGAAAATAAAAAAGAAAGGCATGTAAACCCTTAAATATATATGTAATATGAGATAAATACTTCACATACAGATGTTGTTGAAATGTTACTTCATAGAACTTTAAAGTTCATAAAAAGAAAACTAAAACCCGTTGTTTTGTGGTAGTGTTTAGTTTAGTTCAATTGGATATATTTGATCAACATGGTAATCAAACTCATTCATTCAACAACTACTATTATATCGTAGAAAGTAAAAAAAAAGTTTAAGGCTGGCTTCCAATCATAATTTTTCAGACGCATTTGCGTTCAATCTTCATCCGACGAATAAAGGGCGAGAAAGAAACATCATTGGTTCCAACAGATTTTTTATTTTTTAGCCATAGAGCTTTCTATCTTTCTTCAAGGAATGGGTTTTTTGATATAACAAACTCCCTTTTCCTTACCTCTATATCATTAGAAAAGCTTTTTTGGCGTCGAAAGGGTCTTGGCATAACATTCACACCAACGTCATAATGTCCTTACTCGGTAATAAGTTAAGCTCGATGTTTTGTCAGTTGTTATGGACTTCTCCTTCTTAAATTTGCCTTGGCGTTTGGTACTTTTGTTTTTATATCTGTTCATTAATGGCATAGTTCATATACAATGTTTGTCCAGCAGAGTATAAAAACAAACCGCATGACACCGATTTTTTAAAGCATGACACATGTTCTTATGATAACCTTCATCAAAAAGACTTGGTACCAAATACCGTCCAACAGATCGACTTTGTCTAGATGTAGTTGCACAAAATTATACAAAAATTATACAAAATTTTGAAAATTCAAACCATGAATACACTAAAGTACTTGGTATTTTGCAGGCGTTATTGGTTGGTAATGATCTTAGAATTGAACAGAATTGTTTTGATAATAATACTGAATACGTTAAAAAGTAAAATTTTCGCGGAAGCTTTATATTTGCCATGTTCGTGGTAAGAGTTGATACGCGAAAATAAAACTATCGCGAATATGTCATAAAAAAACGGTTTATAGGACTAGACCGTATGTTAATAAATACTACAATTAAAATGTGAATTTGAAGCTGCGCGTTTTTAAATTCATTTGACAAATCGCGAGTAAAAGACCATATGTAAATTTTCTGGTTCACAGTATCATTACGATTAAAAAAAGATTAGAAAATATTTTACCTCATATAAATTTAACTAGTTGGTAGAAATATCCCGTATGACGCACACCATCTGCAAGATACTTACTTGATGCTTGTAATCGAATGGGTTTGGAGTATAAGATGAGAAATTAAATAGTCGATATATCCTGCCATCACTTTCAATACTATCGTCTATTGTTCTTTGCACACTATAGACAATGTCTGTGAATCTCTTGTATAGTGGGTTTTTGAATACAGGACTTTCAAATGTTAGAAGTACCGCCTTAGTTTCTGAAAAAAAATGTTGATTATCTTATCATGTTATCATAATTGACAATGCCATGGACTATGAAAATGCGGACTAGAAATAAAAAAAACTTACCAATCCAACTACAAATGTTAACTAAATCGACATCTAGAGGTGAATAAAAGGGCTTCCGAACTAAGGGAGAGAAAATGTAAAATTTGGTGATTTCGGGATTTTATGTTTTTCGTATGTAATTCAAATAAATCATAAATTTCTATATATTGTTGTATTAGTGTTGATTTGATAACAACCGTAAACTGTTCATATGGTAAGATAAGAAATTTAAAGAACATTCTTAAAATTCTTGAGATTAAAGGGATAAATTATGGCGACAGTAGTTTACCGTAGTTCAAATCTCGTAAATCGATTAGGCAGAGACAAATCAAGGCAACAAAGAAAAACTAAGGGAATCGCAAACTCCAAAAAATAAGAGACCGTGTGTGTGTCAACATGGTAAGTGTCTCCTGCTATTCTTGCATCACCTCCAATGCGAATTCACACTCAGTCAAAATGTCACAATCGAGAAAAGGACACAATCGGGAAAATTACAGATCAGATGACCACTGTTATCTAAATATCTCAGAACGCGTAAACATGTCGCTAATCATTGTAGACATCGACAAATCGTATAGTTCAACCAATTCGTGATGGTGACCGTAGAACTTATTTAGTGTTGGTTTCAGTCGTTCTTCCTAATAAATGATTTTATAGAGTTACCTTTAAAACTGACGATTAGTTGATTTGTTAACTGATTTTGTCTAAAATTGTGACACAGCAAAAATATTGCACCACCATGAAATTGTGAAGATAATATAGATGTTTTGTTAGAAGAATTAATAGACAGAAAGTAAGTTTGTGAGAAAAATATTAGTCTTTGGAAGTTTATCATTTCATCAAAATGAACAATAAATTAAAATAACTAATCAAAGATACCAGACTTATTATTGTGTTCACCAGACGCGCGTTTTGCCTACAAAAGACTCGTCAGCGACGTTCGAATCAAATTGTCAGAATATATATTTTTCATTTGTGTTTTTGGATTTAACAAAGGAAAATATCAAAAAATCAAAAATCATAATTTCTATAAGAATTATCAAATTCCCAATATTTTCTAAACAGTTCTTCCTTTGAAAAAAAACACAAAATATTTAAATAAATAAAAATTCAAAAAACTAATCGAATTGTGCACTTGTCTTTTATATCATAAAAAAATCGTTAGTAGCTTGCTTAAGCATTTAGTAATTATCGAGTTTGATCGATTTGTGCATGCAGCATGGTTTTATAATGCCTTGATATTGCTGGATAGCTTTGTCATTTATAAACTTTCATTGTTTTTCAGAAAAATCAACATTGACTAAACAAAGGTCGTAAAAAAGAGAACAACATGAACTATCACGTACGTAATATGTACCGATTATCAGGTTGTCTGCATATTGATATTTTACAATCTAAATATGCAGACAACCTGATAATCGATTTATCGGGCTGAATTTGCGTATTTTGGAAGTGTTTTCTTTGTTTCACCAGCAAACCGGAGGATGACTTGATAAGTTCGGGTCAGACTTATCAACGTCGGTTCAAACATTATGACGTCGCTGATATGTCCGGGTCAAAGTTATTAAGGCCGGGTCAACGTATTTGACGTCACAAAGCCGTGATATGAAATTTTATTAAGAGCTGAGCAGAGTGATATAGACAGTGGGACGACCGATAAATGAAAATACACTAGTACTTTATACATCAGGTGCTTTCAATGCACTTTTACAAACGCGAAATTATAAAATCCAAGGATATGCAAATACTGGACTAATTTAGAAGTTATATGACCAAAGCGGAACGATAATTTGAGTAATACCCTGTTCTTAAAATAAAATGAGTAAACTTGAAGACAATATTTGTAGCAAACGAAAATTGCGTATAATTTATGTATAGGAAAAACCGAATGCTTGATCAAATTTATTTCACTATATATCTAATACAAGTACCTTGGGAATGAACTATACCAATAAATGGAATGCTGAAAGATATATTGAGTGCTGGGCTAAATCCATGGTTCTGTTTGTATGGCAAAGGATGTAATGCTATTCTTAACAATAGCGGTGCTTTAAACAGTTTTTCATCCGAATTATTAAAAACTGTTGCCGCTTCTAATCCATGTCTGTGATTGAAATCTTTCCATCCTACAGGGAATATAAATAACATTATATGAAAGGTTAATCAGCACAGTAAAAAACAAAACCACCTGTAAATTCAAAATGAACACTCAATCGATACAATGAGTGGGTACAACAAATGACAAATGTTAAATACTTTTTGGATTATTGTTAATCATTTACTTTAATAAGTGTTAATAACAGATTGTAAAGACGCCCATCTACTGTTCACTATTTGACTAGTATATACTAAAATTAGAGCTAATACTCGTTCAAAAAGATACCCTATTGCAATAAAATGGCCATATTAGGTTCATTGAAAAGAGGGTCAATGCGATTTAAGAAAAAAAATATTTCCTTCAGTAGCACTGTATTGAATTTTCGTATTACATGCAAAAATATGCTAATGAATTAAACGGCATTTATAGAGCAATTTCACAATGTTTTGTCGTATCATTTTTCTTGTATTCTATATGAGTTGTATATCAAAAGTATGCATTACCTTGCTTCTTAAACTTTCTTTTCTTAAAGTTAACATATAAATACATCTAAAGTGTTTGAATAAAGTAAAATTCTTCCCATCATTCTGAAATTAAATCATTATGCAATAAATATGATACATATCAGTTTCAAATACTAACAAGAGTACACAAACCTTTTATAGATCCAACGGTACAGATGAATTGTCTTCCATCAGAGATAGTGGTCTACAAACGAAACAAGATCATTTTGCAACAAGCCAATTTTGGTATGAAGATATTTTCGAGATACAACAAAAGCTTACATCATGGTTTCCAGTAAAGTTCACTATAATCTGACTAGTTAAATAAATAATCAAAGCTTTTAGTTGAATGGCATGTGATCCTGCTCCAAAATCAACTGCATAGAGGTGAGCCAGGATCTGTGCATTTTATGCAAACATTTTTGTTTGTTGGTATTTTTTAAGTTTTATATGTATATCGCATCACATACTGTGGATTCATTTTTATTCGTGGTATACCAATTTTCGTGGGTTTCGTGGGTCACAGCGAACCACGAATTTAAGAATTCAACGAAGAATAATCCCGAGAAATGTGTATGGAGTCGGATGTTTATTTCCAGTTATGTTATGCAGTTCTAGTATAGTGTTGACTAACGATAAACATTGTAACATAACATGTGTTTTTCTTGAAAGAAGATACAAGTATTTTGATTAAATCAATAATAAATATATCGAATATATCAGTGACAATTTACTTTTTAAAATTGATTTAAACTGTTCATGGAAAATAAATGCAAGTTGTTAATTACCGTGTCATAGTTTGGTTTACTGGTGATTAAAAATCAATAGGATTAACGGTGCGGGGATATTGCCCGTAGGTAATATTATTTATGACAGGAACATTTATTTTCACACCTTTTACTTATACTTATATATTATATCGTGAATAGGGAAATGAGCTTTCGATCATAGAGTTTTAAATGCCTTATAAAATTCCGACAAGAATTTATAAATTGTAAAACAAACAAATAATTAGTTGTCTCTGTCCATTATTGTAATAGAAGTTTTCAATGAACACTTTAACCTAGAATGACCAAGCGAGGATTTTGACAATTCAAAACCTTTTCAATGAATTCTTTCTTTCTTTTTTGTTTGTTTTATTATTGATCAAACCAAGGAGGGTATATGATCTCATAAATTAAAAAGAAATGCACGAATTACGTATCGGACTTTTTTTTTTTTTGTTATCAGCGATCCACGAATTTACGTATACCACGAAACGTCTTTTTTTCTCTATCCACGAAAATTGATACCCACGAAAATAAATGAATCCACAGTATGTTATATTTATAAGTCACACGTCATATATTGTTACACCAAAGCATGAAAAAACTTCACATAAGAATTTAAATAAAGAACTAAAATAATAATGAAGTGTGTAAGGTTATTGTTATAAGCATACATGTAGCGTATACACGTTCATTTTGGGAGTGGTTTCGGGACTTTCTTCGCGTCTATAGTGAGTTTCATAACCCTTATTGCTATACACTAAACTAATTTGATATCAAGATCCATCGTACTAACCAGGACATTGACGTCCCAGTACCAGTTTAAACATGTCTTGCTGTGTTTTTTTTTATCTTGATGAAAATACCCAAAAAAATCGGACGCAAGTTGTTCCGACTTACAAAGTCCTCTTCAGTTAATAAACAAACATAATAATAGCAGACTTGTTCCTGTACTATTATGAATCACAGTTCATGATCAAACCCAATAATGACCCGTCTAAATTCCATTTAATTGATAAATTCAATAATACTAATCGTTATCTTGATGATATTTTTTTCTAAATGTACTGCCGAAATTTAGCTAAAGGAACTTACCTTAATTAAATCAAATATAAACAGCACTAATTGTCCTTTCCTAGATTTTGATATTTAAGTTTTACACGGGGAACTCTACACAAAAATTTACGACATAAGGGACGATTTTTAATTCCTATTGTTAATTTTCCTTTTTTGGGACGGTTATGTTCCTTTGGCACCATCTAACGTTGTTTATATATCCCAACTCGTTCACTATGCCCGTGTCTGTAGTGATGTTTTGGATTTCAATGAACGTATTCTATGTATAACTGGTAAATTTTTGAATAAATGATTTCTATATCTCAAATTACCTAAAACGTTTAATCAATTCTTTCATAGATACAATAGAGATCTACTTTAAGAACAGAAAATAACGCTTAATATATTCCGTGCGGTTTCCGTGATTTACCTTCATGAGGAACGGTCAAACCCAAAGATTTGAAAACCAGAGATGACCAATACTCAAACACGTCATGAGCTGTATGACCAAAGAAACGGATAAAGAATAGCCAGATCCACCTAAGGTCATCTTTGTATGAGGGATGTGGAACTTAAGATTTCTTGATAGTTTATCAACGAAAAAATTAATCAAGATATGTAATAAATCATGTCAGTAGTAACGAAGCGCTGACTACTTAGATGATGATACCTTCGGAGACTACCAGTCCACCAGCACAGATATCTACCCAGTGCTTCTAAATAACATATAATAAACTTTTGTCTAAAGCGCTTTTCTTGATATACCTTAATAATTTAATTTTGGATGTAACGCGTCTTCCGATTGGCTGACGTTGTTTTGTTTATCAGCTCATAGACATAATTTTGTCATGTGACCTTGACGTCATCAACGTTTTTTCAAGATTTACTCCGGTTTAAAATGGAATTAAGAATTAAATTATAAGAGATGACTGTAATATTGTTTCTGTCTATTCGAAAAAAAATAAAACATGTAGTGCACACTTTAAAATAACCCGCTACGCGGGTTATTCAGTGTGCACCACATTTTTGATGTTATTTCTTCATAGACAGAAAAAATATTACAGTCATTCCTTAAATACAGTGTAAGAATTAAACTGTTTTGTGGGGTTTTGATATTATTGTTTGGTTTAAGTTATATCTCGATCAGCGTAATCGGAAGAAAAAAGTTTATTGTTCGATAAGTATTTTAGAGTAAGACTTGTTTGTTTGGAAAGAGATACACATACGGTACCGTATACGATAAAGATTTAAGGACGGTATTCTAAAAGAAAAACTTAAACCAAATGCATTGAAAGGTATTCGGGCGTAGCATAGTTTACCTTTGCATTAAATTTTATCCCATTCAAATATAAACTGTATTAGATTTTTTCGATTAAGATGAAGGTCCCATATTCCTTACATTTTTTGGCCGAGGTCTTTAACGTGTGGAAAGATTCTCATCTTAGACGAATCTGTACTAATCTAGACTCCCCTAAAAAATCTATTAACAACGAAATTTTATACGCTTTCGTTCTCTCACTGTGATTTAACCAAATTATTGTTAAAAGAACACTGCGAGTACGGTATTCAATATAGGTCAAATAGTTTTGAACAATGTACAACAAAAAGTTGGCATAGATTGGAAAAAAACCTTTATTCTCCAGGTTATAAGACAATGTCAACTACAAGCTCGGGTTAACTTATTTTACACTATTGTTTAAATATTTACTTATGTGAGACTGCATGGCAAATTTTAAGTCGCATTGAGTCTTCACAAATTGTGAATGAATTTAGCGACACTTTGTGAATCTTATTAATTTGCTTAAATTAGTTTTATGTAATGATATCTAGTAAATTGTTTCTATATTTGAATTGTGTCTGTGTTATGTTTAAAAAGAGATGTATATTATATATATAAAAAAAAAACAAAAACAAAACAGTATAAACTTCATAGCAAAAAGAAAACCACTGGAATGCAGATCCACTCAAAACCAGAAGCAATAACTGCTCCCTATTCATTACTCTTTCCGAGTACTCATTTTGCATTTCTAATAGTAATGTAGCCAAATTATTGCATGTGAAAAATAAAATTGAACATTCAAGAGATGAAATTAGGACTCTTAACGATTTCAATATCGAATATAGAAAGTTAAAAATAACATTTTCTTTCAAAGTAAAAATATATAGATATGGACTTACCGGTTTCGAACATGTCTCATTACAAGATGGACGGCCAATAAAATGGTTCTGTGGACAACCAGTTGTCAAAAGGGTCGTATCCACAATGCTTATTTGAAAGGCCATGTTGATGATAAACACCCAAAATAAAGACATTTCGCCTGTAGACATTTATATCCCCATGTATGCTATTGATATGTACATACAGGTAAACAGTGTACCAGGAAGTTCTCAATTATCAATAAACAATTCTTAATTCTACGTACTACAGAAAAAAATGAAAATAACACTTTATTAATTCAGTGCTTTCGAGGGCTTTTCTGGATTTAATTTCATCAGGAATGCTCATAAATGGACTATATACAAACATGTTTAACCCCGCCACATTCTTTATGTGCCTGCCCCAAGTCAGGAGCCTGTAGTTCAGTGGTTGTCGTTGGTTCGTGTATGTCATATTTATTTTTCGTAAACTGTTTTGATATAAATTAGGCCGTTAGTTTTTTTCAATTGATTTGTTTCATATTTTTCATGTCGGGGCCTTTTATAGTCGACCACAAGGTATGGGTTTTTCTCATTGTTGAAGGCCGTACGGTTGCCTATAATTGCTTACATCCACTGTATTTGAACTTTGGTGGATAGTTGTCTCATTGGCAATCATACCACATCTCCTTATTTTTATATATAAAAATTGTATGAACTATAGATAATGTAAAATCGAATAAGTTGCAGTCATATAATTGTATGGCATGTCGTCGCCAGACTTCAGTTAACAGATCCTTCAAACGTTCAAGCAAACTGGTTCATGCTACTAGAATAAGGCTGGAATTAATACTGAAGATTCTGTCATGTCTATTTAAAATTGATGAATTTTGAGTCAAAGAAATATAATTAAAGTACATATGCAGCAGTTATTTATTTAAATCTTACTTAGTGGAGGTCCGCCGCTAGCAGATCACATTCTCTTGCTTTTTTAAATTTTTTATCAATTCCTCATCTCTGAGGTGATAAAAGATCATATTAATCTAATTTTCGGTTATCCAATTTAATTGTAATTTTAAATTCGTAAACAATAAAAGTAGGGAGCTCCACAGTAAAGAGTAGGTAGTAGTACCACAATAAAGAGTAGGAAGTGTTACAGTAAAGAGTAGGTTGTACCAAAATAAAACGTAGATAGCGCTACAGTAAATAGAAGGTAGTGTCACAGTAACGAGTATATAGTACCACAGTAAAGGATAAGTAGTGTCACAGTAGGGAGTAGGTAGTGTCATAGTAAAGATAATGTAGTACCACAATGAAGATAATGAAGTACCACAATAAAGAGTATGTATTGTCACAGTTAAGAGTATGTAGTACTACTGTAAAGAGAAGATAGTACCACAGCAAGGAGAAGATAGCGATGCAGTAAAGAGAAGGTAGTGTCACAACAAAGATTTGTATTGCGATAGTAAATAGTACATGTATACCATTCAACAGCAAACTGAAGGTAAATTTACAGTAAAGAATTGATAATACCACAGTAAAGATTAGGTAGTACCACAGGTAAGCACAATAAAGAGTGGGTAGTATCACAGTAGAGAATAGGTGGCGCTCCAGTAAAGAGAAGGTAGCGCTCCAGTAAAGAGTAGAAAGCACTACAGAAAATAGTAGGCAGAGTCTCAGAAAAGAGTAGATACTACCACAGTAAAAAGTAGGTAGAACCATTATAAAGTGTATGTAGTACCATAATAAAGAGTAGGTAGTACCATAGTAGAGAGTATGTAGGATCATAGTAAAGAGTAGGTAGTACCACAGTAAAGAATAGATAGGCTCACAGAAATGGGTAGGTAGTATCACACTAAAGAGTAGGTAGTAACACCGTAAAAGGTAGGTATTGCCAATGTTAAGAGGAAAAAGCACTACAGTTAAGAAAAAAATAAGAAGATGTGGTATGATTGCCAATGAGACAACAAATGAGACAACTCTCCACAAGAGACCAATTGACACAGAATGTAACAACTAGAGGTAACCGTACGGCCTTCAACAATAGGTAAAACCCATACCGCATAGACCGCTATAAAAGGACCCGAAATGACAAATGTAAAACAATTCAAACGAGAAAACTAACGGCCTGATTTATGTACAAAATAATGAACGAAAAACAAATATGATATACGGCAACACACGACAACCACTGAATTACAGGCTGCTGACTTGGGACAGGCACATACATAATGTGGCGGTGTTAAAGATGTTAGCGGGCGCCCAACCCTTCCCCTAAACTGGGACAGCGGTGTAACAATACAACATATGAACAAACTATAAAAATCAGTTGAAAAGGGTTTAACTCATCAGATCGATACAAAGCACAAAAACAAGTAACAAAAGCAAAGAGTGGACGTGGCAGGGTACTTATACATCCCCACAGCAAAAAAACACTAAGTACAGATCTGAGAGTACTCGCAGTTACTGACAGCTAGTTCAAAGCAAATAGCAACTAATAAAAAAATCATGCATCTAAGACCAAAATATCAATCAGTACACATCCAACATCCAATGGATTTAGTGTAAAGACGTCATTAACAGTCAGAGAAAAACATGACCTTGTGTAATGCCATGATACAGGTGTCGACAGATTGTAGAACCATGAATGTGCATATGTATGTAAAAATAATATTAAGTTTGATTTTAATTTACTGATAACAAAATAAATATTAATACCAATAAAAACAATATTCAAAGATCTAATTATAGTGTTGAATTGGTAACCTTTTAGAATAAGTTTATTTAAAGGATCGACAAGTTTACCCGGATCGTATCTAAATTTCCGGGCTCGGTAAACAACATCTCCGTAAAATTAGGATGTGCCATCCCGTTAAAAATAAGTTTTCTACAGGTACAACTAAACTTCCAAACCAAATCTTTATATTTATGGAAGAATTTAGTAAAGGATTTAAGTAATTTGTGGTAACGAAATCCCTGACTTAATAATTTACCAATAATACATTATATATAGATTACGTTCTTTGAAATCCAAAACGTCAATACAGACACGGGCATAGCGAACGAGTTGTGATATATAACCACCATAAGATGGTGCTAAAGGAACATCACCGTCCAAAAAAGGAAAATTAACAATAGGGAACGAAAAATCGTCCCTTTTGTCGTAAATTTTAGTGTAGAGTTTCCCGTGTTAAACTGAAATATCTAAATCTAGTAGATATTGTCAAAGTAAAAGAAGAAAGCACTACAGTTAGGAGAAGGTAGTGTCACAGAAAAGGGTAGGTAGTGCTACAGTTAAGAGTAAGTAGTACCACAGTAAAAAGTAGGTTATACCACAGTAAAGGGTAGGTAATGCTAGGATAAAGAGCAGTAGTGTCATAGTATAGAGTATGTAGTGCTGCATAAGATGGTAGCTAGTGTCACAGTAAATGGAAGGTATCGAAATTGAAGAGAGTATGTAATGTCGACGTCACAGTAAGGAGTAAGGAGCGCTACAGTAAAGAGAAGACAATACCACCGTTAAGAGTATGTATCGCTACAGTAAAGAGCATGTAGTGCTGCATAAAATGGTAGGTAGTGTCACAGTAAATGGTAGGTAAGTGACATTGAAAAGAGTACGTAGTTTCATAGTAAGGAGTAAGGAGCGCTACAGTAAAGGGTATGTAGTGTCACAGTAAAGAGCATGTCGTGAGACTGTTAATGGTAGGTAGTGTGACGCACGTCTGATTAATCAAATTATAAACCTATGGATGGATACCCCATATCCTTTGTTTTTCTAGTATTTATACCTCTAAAATGGCAAAAGTATTTCAAAAGCAGATTTCTTACACCAACACGTTAGTTATATCCATATACAATGTAGACATTTAGTGATTTCAGTGCAGAAGTCATAGGTCAAATTTGACCGAAGGAGCAACATTTTAGTTTTAGTATAATCAGATAATTTGTTCCTTTTGAGTTGATTATAACATCAGGATTAAAGCAAAATTTGTTATGACCCTGAGGACTCCAGCTTTCTAAAATAGATTGATATAAAACTTAGGAAGAAAATTGTAATGGATACATTTCTTGTGACGAATATGCAACAACGAGAGGAAATTCCTCTGTTATAAGAAACGTAATCTGATTGCGGATATAAAGGAGGGAGGATTGAAAATGGTTCATTTACAATCCTTCAACTTTTATCTTAAAATTGGTTGGGTGAAGAGATTTTTTGCAAATTTGAGTGGAGACTGGCAAAATATTCTAAAACTGATATATAGTACATTTGTAGGTGCAAGAGCTTGTTCTTTGCAAAATTTCAAACTATTGGAGATTAGTTATAATCTCATCAATCCTTTTTTGGAAGGAATGAAATTGAGAATGGAAATGGGGAATGTGTCAAAGAGACAACAACCCGACCAAAGAGCAGAACACAGACCAAGGCCACCAATGGGTCTTCAACACAGTGAGAAAATCCCGAGGCGGGCTTCAGCTGGCCCCTAAACAAAAATGTGTTCTAGTTCAGTGAAAATGGACGTCACACTTAACTCCGAAACATATATATGAACTAAAATTGAAAAAAAAAAACATACAAGACTAACAAAGGCCAGAGGCTCCGGACAGGCGACGGGGTTGAATATGTTTTGTGAGCTCTCAACCCTCCCCCTATACCACATTTGAACAGATTAAACAATAAATTCAGACAAATAATTTTATGCAGTTTGATATCAAATATCCCTATGAAGGTAAATCCGTGTATAAGAGAAAAAAATTATACCAATTTAGAAAATTTTACCCCACATGATATTTATCTGCAGCAAATTACTAGCAGCAAAAATATTAAATTCATATATAATATAATCTTATTGTAAAACATGCACATTATCCAGTTGTAAAATTTTCAAAATGGGAGCATGAGCTGCATACTTATGTTGAAGACTGGCCAAACTATTTTGGTATACTTCAGAAAGGTTGCAGAGATACATATTTGTATAATTTCCAATATCAGTATTTACATAGGATTATTCCTACAAATAACATTTTGTCCAAGATTAAAATCAAAGACACAAAGTTAGTTCTTTTTTAGATGTGAAGATGAAACTATTGGACATTTATTTTATGATTTTCAAGTGACATCAAGTTTTGTAGATTTATTCTGTGCTGGTCTGAAAAAATTCTTTGTAAACATTGCATGAATTCAACAAAAAGAACTTTTTTCTAGGTTTCATAGAGGAAAGCCTATTTTTGAATTTTCTAGAAATTGTTGTTATAAAATACATATACAAATGCAAACTGGAAGAAAGGCTTCCTAATGCACTTGAACTGAAAAATAGACTGAAAAACTTTTATGATATAGAATTATATACGGCAAGAAAATACAACAGAGTTTTTGCACTTGAAAAACTTTGGGCCCCTGAGTGAATTATTTATCCTGAATTGTAGTCTTAAAACCATATCATATTAAAACATATATCTTTTTGACTTATTTATGTTAACAGAGCAAACAACATGCATGCAACATATACACAGTACAGGTAAATCATTTTTTTCTATTTTATTATCTATAGATATTTTGCTATGAAGAGATTATGAGAGAGAGAGAGAGAGAGAGAGAGATATTTTCAAATGGTTTATATATTTATTCATAACTTTGCAAAATAATATTTTTTGTTATTATGTTTTTAAAACCCTGTAACAGCTTAGTCAGGTGGTACTGAAAGTGTGATGTGAAACCCTGACTATTGGAAAAAGAAAGAAAGAAAAAGAAACGTAATCTGTGTCATTAGTGTTCATTATCTGACAGAAAAAAAATGTCCTCCTTCGAAAAACTGTTAGAAGAAATAACTTTTTAAATTAATTATGAAATTACATAAATAACTGACCCGTAAAGTAATTTTTTAAAAGTATTAGACCGAATAAATGTATTATTTTAAACGACTTCTAAGAATGTATCTGAATGAACTACTGGATTGCTTAAAATTCATTCTTAAACTTGAAAAACGTTTTTTAAAGGTAATTCTTCTTAAAAGAGGACAAATTTATGTGCATCAGAAAATGAACAATGCGTTCTCCATTTGTGATGATCTTCACGAAAGGTGCATATCTGAAAATTCCTTATTTGAGTCTTACAGAACTTTTAATAGATGTTACGAGTTTTTTTTTTACACGAGAAAAAATTGCACTCACTCTACACATCGAATCGAATATCAAATCCAAATTCTGTACGGAATTAAATAATTATTTGTACATTCCGTACAGTCAAATGGACGGACCTTCAGTATTTGTCTTACTGTCCGACTCCGGAAAGTAGTTTAGGTAAATTTATGAGACGCCAGGCCGTTTCAGTTCGATATCAGTAAAATCAATCATATATTCTTTTACAATTCTCAAAAACATAAATTCGTTATGTGCAAAAATAAATACAGAGAATCATGAGCTGCATATGCATATTATATGATTTTAACAGCATATTCCCGACCCCGGACTAAGTTGTTTTAAACAGATTTGATCAGATTTTATATAAAAATTATTCAGTAGATTTCTTAATTTGAATATTGTAAGATATATATAAAAATTGCATAATATCATTGAAATTTCAGGTCCATATGATGTCACAAGAAACATGAAGATTACTTTTGTTGAATCAATAATAACTTTTCAATTTTTAGCTGATTACCGAAATAATGGGTAGGTCACGAATGTGTCATCTGAAATTTAGCAAAAATATTATTGAAGAAATTTTAAACCGTGCGATTTGATTGGTTTTAACTGTTTCCGGTTCAAAGCCGCCATATTCAAAGACTGTTTATTATTTTTATTACTTTTGTAAATGCATAAATCCTGTTTCCAACAATGCCAGCGAAAGAAAACAAAGACGAAAACATTTTCAAGTAAATATTATAACTTAAGAATATGTCAAGGTCCAGTTATTATTTTGGGCAGTGTCAATTTTCTGATAATTTTACTTTAGGGTCCCAAAATTATAATTTTATCCATATCGACCTTTAAACAAGTTAAAAAAAGACATGCAATTATCCTAGCCATAACCAAATTAAAAGAAACATAACCCTTAAGTGCAGAGGCAATATAGTAAAAGGATCAGTCCCGAAGAATGTTAACTCGTACCATTTTAAACTTTTCAACTCTTACCACTAACTGACTAAAGCGTAGTACTAGTAAAGGTACTTTCCACTATCACCACTCTGAGTCTTGAATGCTTCAAGGCTCAGCTTAAAAAATAGACAAAAATTACTTTGAACTTCATGCACACAAATAGTGGCAGAATAATCTGACAGTTGATTGGGATGCTTAACAGGAAGAAGGAAAAGGTCAACTCGTAACACTGAAAAGTGGTACAGATGCTTACCCCTTTTTGTATTCTGTGTCTCCATGGCTGCGAAATCAGAAAGTTGCTCTGGACACAGAATCTCAATCACACGTCAATAGGGATTTGCAGATTGGAACTTGTGCAACCATCTACTTGATAATAATAAAGTGAATTATGAATTGTCTGTTGAAAATACATAGAATAGAGAAAATTATTAAAACAGGGAATGTGTCAAAGAGACAACAACCAGACCAAAGAGCAGAAAACAGCCCATGGTCACCTATTGGTCTTCAGCACAGCATGAAAATCATGCGCCAGAATGAAGGATTCATCTGGCCCCCTCAACTATCATGTATACTATTTCAGAAAAAATGGATGCAACACTAAACACAGAAACATATAAATGAACCAAAATTAAAAAACACACAAGACTAACAAAAGCCAGAGTTCCTGTCAGACTTGGGACAGGACCAAAAATGCGGCAGGGTAAAACATGTTTTGTGAAATCTCAACCCTCTCCCTATACATCTAGCCAATGTAGAATTAACAAACACACAGCAATATGCACAGTAAAACTCAGTTTTAAGAAGTCTTGAGTCCAATGTTGGAATAGGTAACAGAAGAAACTAAGCAAAATGACAATGATCAACATAAATTAACAAAGGATTACTAGCAGTTACTGACATGCCAGCTCCAGACCTCAATTAAACTGTTCAAAAGATTATGTCTTCATCATATGAAAATCAAGCACAATCCCTCCTATAAGGGGTTTAGTATCATGCCATCATAAATTATAAAAGAACATAACCTGTAACATGCCAACAACTGATTATTGAATAAATGTGTTTATTTCCGATGTCAAGACACTATATACATGTAGCTATGAGAGAATCAATATTGATTAAAAAAAAATGCCATCTTTAAAGTTTAATGACTTGACAATAGTATCGTAACTAGATCTCTTGTGAATAAGTCTGTTTAAAGGTTAGGTTATATAATTAGCTTTTAAGGTGAAGGACAACATTTTTGTGCTTTGTATAGAATATTACCATAAAAGATGGAATGTAAAATACCTGAATGTATAAAATGTCTGCACGTTGATTTATATTTACAAATGATGTCCTTGTACCAATGATAAAATTAAGTAAAAGTTTTGACAAGTTTGTGGTATTGATAACCCTGGTGTAATAATTTTTCAGAAATACAGAGATTTCTTTCGTTAAAATCAAATACGTTGTTACATGTACATACACGAGCAAATTGAACAAGTTGAAACCATGACTATGACCAAATGTTACAGGGTTCTTAGACAGAATAAAAGGATTCGACAAGTTTATAGATGTTTATTTCATTTGACATAAATGAATAATCCTGAATTTACACAAATAACAAAACATGAGTTCATAGACAATACGATGTACAAAGGGATATAACTCTAATCCATTAAACGGAAAGTACATGTATAAAATACGATAAACTGGCTCTGTTCTATAAGAATACTAGTGTTGGATAATCGGTTGAAATTACCAACCGATTATCTATTACTATCAGTTGACAGCAACCAAATGACTATCGGTTATAATCTCATCATTATACCTTGCCCTTTTTTAAATGAAATCATGCATTTAGTCACACTGTACATGTCTAATACATCAGGGATGGGCACGATTACTGACAAATGTAATCGATTAATAATCGATTACTTGAGGGATTTTTGTGTATTCGATTAATAATCGATTACTCTGATTTTTGTATGTAATCGATTGCAATTGATTACTTTATCAAAAGTAATTGGATTACTTTTCGATTAATGTCAGTTACATGCTATAAAATTACAAAAAAATAATAAAGTAAGTTAAACACAAACATTTTGTTATGTATAGGGGAAATTTATAACTTGATCAAAACTTCATTGAAAGCATTGTTTTCAAAGTTTAAGTTGACAGTTTGTTTCTAGAAAGAAGCTCTCACTGAGGATTTGAAATATTCAAAAATTCTTTAAAATCTGGTTATCTACATGAGTGAGATGTAATAAAGTTCTTGCAATGACACCACATGGTTTCAGTCACTTCTTTATAGTCTAGTTTTTTTTCCACATGTCTCTATATTTTTCAAGTTTTGCTGTCATAATGACTTAAGTTAGGTATTTTGTATTTATTAATTTTTAACTATATTTGAAATAGTATACATTACAATTAAAATGTAAAAAGAAGAATAATTAACTAGTTCAGCTAATTTCAAAGATGTAAATTTATTATATTTATAACTAATAATGCATGAATTAATCATTTTGTTTGGATAATCTCCCTAATTACAGGTTATAAAACTGCCAATGGAGTACATTTCATAACCTGGGGAAATATAATGTCAATCTCCTCTTAATTAAACATAATTGAAATCAAAACATCTTATCAATTAGAAGTCCTTGATCATCTTGATTAGTAAACACAGGAATTTGTTGGGATTTTTCTATACTCTATTCAAAATCATGATATTTAACAAGATATATTTTAGTGTCAATATGGGATACATGTATCTATTTCTGAACAAGAATTTCAATGCAAATCAATTGATACATTGTGTACTTTCTGATTTTTATATCATAATATTATAACAAATCCACTGTGTATCTAGTTTAGCTAAAATTCCAAATCTTATTGAAAATTACACTTCAATGTCAAAGTAGTACAGAACTTAACATAAGACTCATTTCTTATTTTTATCTATTTAACTATTTCAAAATAAAAGGTCTTTAAATAATTGACAAGCATTGAAGACAGTTAAGTCAATTGTTTAAAAAGCTGGATATACAGTAAAATTGGTAGGAGTTCTGGTTGATCATAATGCAGCTTGAGACAATAGATACAAATAAGGCATTTGATAAGCTCTGGTCTAAATACTTTCTATTTTATCTGTACTATAAAGTGATGAATGCATATATATTTTCATTAAAAATAGGTTTAATTTCATCAAACTATTTCACTAAAAGTAATTGAAATGTTATCAAAAGTAATCGATGATTACATCCTAATTTTTGCTGTAATCGATTAAATTACGATTACATGTAATCGAAAATGTCTTCGATTACAGATTACTGTCGATTACTGGGAAACATGTAATCAATTACAATCGATTACGATTACACATTACGATTACCCCATCCCTGTAATACATATATTCCATTGCATTTCATTGCAGAGTTTTATATGTTCACATTTGATCTTTTGTTTCCTTTTCATATTTTATTTAGCAATTTAAACAGTGAATCAATTATAATCCAGATTCAGATTGAACATATTTTGTCTTATAATTACAACATTTATTACCAACAATGACACTAAAATTTCTAAATTTCAATGGTATTACTCACATTATAATTTCAAATACATAGCTGTACAAAAATATGAATACTTTTCATTAAAAAAAGTATTTAACTTTAAGCAATTTAAAATTAATAAAAAATAAAACAATGCATATGCATTTAAATATATACATTTAACTAAGGGGATCCAACCAATGTCTGTTAATTCGTGTAGAATGCCTATTTTTCAATTTTGTGATCATTATTCTTCTGTCAGCTGTGTCATTCGTGCATCTGTACTTATAATTGCAAGAATGCAGAATTCTTACATAGTTGATCCGTTCCGATCCGTCATTCGTATATATTTCAATGGCGGACAAACCGAGAAAATTTCCAAAAATAAACAATGTTTTTGACAAGCAATTTGGAAAGGAATATGACGTTTTTGACGCAACAAATGGATGAAACATTTATAAACAGCAATTTGCACCATGTTCTAATGTAGCAAAAAAATTATTTTGTCTAAAATCAGAATGATTTCATGTACGCTCTCGAGTAACTAATGTTCTATAAGAATACTAGTGTTGGATAATCGGTTGAAATTACCAACCGATTATCTATTACTATCAGTTGACAGCAACCAAACGACTATCGGTTATAATCTCATCATTATACCTTGCCCTTTTTGTCGAGCCTTCGACTTAAGTCGAAAAAGCGAGACATAGCGATCCGTCGGCGTCGTCGTTGTCGTCGGCGGCGTCCACAAATATTCACTCTGTGGTTAAAGTTTTTGAAATTTTAATAACTTTCTTAAACTATCCTGGATTTCTACCAAACTTGGACAGAAGCTTGTTTATGATCATAAGATAGTATCCAGAAGTAAATTTTGTAAAAATAAAATTCCATTTTTTCTGTATTTTACTTATAAATGGACTAAGTATTTCTGCTGGGAAATATTACATTCACTCTGTGGTTAAAGTTTTTAGAATTTAAATAACTTTCTTAAACTATCCTGGGTTTGTACCAAACTTGGACAGAAGCTTGTTTATGATCATATGATAGTATCCAGAAGTAAATTTTGTAAAAAAATAAATCCATTTTTTCCTTATTTTACTTTTAAATGGACTTAGATTTTCTGCCAGGAAACAACACATTCACTCTGTGGTTAAAGTTTTTAAAATTTTAATAACTTTCTTATACTATTTTGGATTTGTACCAAACTTGGACAGAAACTTGTTTATTATCAAAAGCTAGTATCTAGA